AGTTACAAAGGAAAATCAAAGATCCTACCTTCCATCAGAGTGTGCACTTTCTGCATGTAGGTTGCAAGATTATCAGCAACTAACTTTACCAAGGAGTGAGTTTGTTGCAGCTGATTTATAACTTCATGTCGATAATATACATGAGGGTTACGCTGAGTGTGAGAGTAGTTTTGTGGAGCCTTACAAGGTAAAAAGTACAAACAAAAATGATTATACAGTGGTAAAACAACATGATGTGCTGAGCAGCACTACACTGGGACCATGCAAACTGTAAACTGTCCAAAATGTAGAGCAAAATAATATCAAAAGACTACATTGACAGTGATCACCAGGGTAAAAATGCAACAACCTAACTAAAAAATATACCTCATAAAAAAGGGAACATATTTCTTTGATTTGCTTGAGTGCAGGTAAAACCCAAGTGTCACTACGTAGCTCTTCTATACAACGACCAATCCACTCTGTTTTTTGAGAATCACGGTCCTGCAACACAATTTCATGCAAGAACTGGATTATATCAATGTACCACCAACAAATTAACAGGCCCCAGTAGCAAAGACATTAATGGGGGCTCACAAGCAAGTATAATTCAATTGAATATAGCGCCACTACATCCACTAAGTCACCTGTGAGCAACTGTAGTCCAGAATCTTGATATGTGCACTTAAAGCTAAGTCCATGATGTCTGTTGGGACATCTTCACTGTGAGCAAGGTTCCACAATAAACCCAACACCTACATAAACACAACAAGAGGGTAAGAAAATTCAGGTTTTTGCATAACAACAAGCAAATGGCTTACATGTATCATAGCCCGGATCCTTAGCCCTTGTTAAAGAAGAAGTACATACATGTGTTTGTACATGTATGCCCCTGCAACCTCTCCTCCTATCTCCACTATTACTAGTAAGAGGTTTCTACAAAAATTAATCACCTATTGCAATATGATACTCCAAAGAGTTTTACAACCTTATTGACTTCAAGTGGGCTACCAATTCTGCCAATTTGACCATACATTTATGTAATGTAGAAATAAACTCTGTGCTCCATTCACCTTGTGTGCCATGATTCCTTCTTTGTCATCTTCTGCTAAACGTCTTATTAACTCCAACAGTTTTTCCCTCTGCTTTTTACTAGCATTTGTCCAGCTTTCCTACAAAAACCAAAAGAAAACAAAACATTCCTAATTTATCCAAAAAAGATTTAAGCAGCTTTCATCGCTACAAGTTTGACAACAATTTAAATTCTTGATCAATATACAAAAGAAAACAAAAAAGGGTTTGAAGATAACTATTCCCATCCTTAATTAGACCTTTGGAGTGAAATTTGTTCTTTGACAAATTCCAAATCAGAAAAAACTGCTTTTATGCAAATTTGGAAGAAGAGACCACAGAAGTAATTTTTTTTACCTGAAAACAAGAAAACAGATGATCTAGCTGTTCAGCAGAAAAATCCCATGCTAATTTGGCCAAAAGGTCGTGGATATTCTTTACAATTGCATCATGTTTTCCAGCCTGCAAGAAACATTTGAACATTTGAAAAAGATCAGTGTCACAAGAATGAAGAAACCTAACTTGAAAACCAGGGTCCAGTTGTATAAAGGGCGGATAATGCTATCCAATGGATAAATCACTATCCAGCAGATAAGTGATAGCAAAACATATAGCGTTATCCACCTTACAAAGATTTATCCAGTGGATAGTGTTATCCAACCTTTAAACAACCGGGGCCAGCACCATACAGTACATGTATAGTAAGGGTCAACTTTATATACAAACCTGAGCAGCCCAAATGTTGTCCAAATCTTCTAAAGACAAAGCCTTTTCCTTTATAACAAACCGCAAAATTTTCTCCAATTTTTCAACATACTAGAATAAACAAATATAAACATGTCACTCTATATACTGTGCATTTTATGCACATTATTGAGAGCATCATTGCTAGATAAGTATTTAGCAACTACATGTATGCTTGTTCTGTTTCAAAATTATCCTAATATTTTAATCGACATCTCAATTCTTATTTATATTTCTTTTGATAATACGAAGTAAAGGAAAGTAAAAAGTGAACATGGAAAAACCTAACGCACCACAAACATATACATAACTGAGCAATGTATGCAGCAACTCTTTAAGGTTTTATTGTCTTTACACACAATGTAGGCTTTGCATCAATTGCAAAATATATGATTAAAACAGTAAATATAACATGGCAGTGCCATAACAGAGCTGAGGTGCAATGGCTGACAAAATGTTGTCACCAAGCAGCCTCTATAACTCTGCTCTATGAAAGTTTCTTAAAGACACCAGGGTTACCAAGGACAAGTACATCAAAACCCTTCTAATAGTTCAGCTTTGTGTAATCATATCTACAATCAGTAACCTGAGGTTGATGAAGATTGTCTTTTAACACTATTGAAAGGACTCCGTTTTTCTGGATCCACTCCTGTAAGGTAAGTAAAATACAGTAGTGAAAGGTACTGTAATTACACTGTAGTAGAGGCTAACTTAATACATGTACAGTGTAGGTATATACATAAGTGGGTAATTGGAATTGTTTGTTAACCATTTGGATTTTGTTGAATGTGTAAGTGTCAGTATTGTATAGTAGCTCTTTAAACTCTGTGCCTGGTATAAATAATTTATTTTTATGTAGATATGCGAGTATGATGTGTTTAATACTCACAGCCATCCTCTCTGCTGTTAGCCACTCCTCCTCTTCTGCTACCGTGTGTCTGTGAGTGAAGTATGATACACCTGTGATAACTTTGTTTATCTGAAAAAGGAAAAAAAAAAAATATATATATATATATATTTATATAAATCAATATCAGTACAATTGTGTTTTGCACATAAACACAGCTGGAACCAAATATCCTTTAATTAGTGCCTTCCTTTGAAAAGTCACCCCTCCTACATGTATCTGTAAAAATTTGGAATAAGTGCCCCCATCTTGCACACCCTCACTTACATACAAATTCACTGAATTTCATATTTTTTTAACTGATTCTTTTTTAGTTTGTGAATGGCCTGAGAGTAAAGTACAGTACAGTTAAGCAGCTGTTGCTGCTCTTAACATACAAATGCTGTACAACAAACATGATCATATTAAGTCACAAATTTGATAAAGCACTCATTGGCTTATCCCAAATTTTAAAGAAGACCCATAAGGGCTATACATTACTTGAATTAGGGGAGTGTACTAATCTCCAGTTGCTTCACATGCAAATGTATTGTACAGAACAAAGCCTCACTGCATTACCTCATTTAGTGCATTCATTTTTCCATTAAATGAAGAAATTTGAAGTAATCTATTGAAAGAAATATATGTAAAAAGGTAAATAATAACAACAGCCCCTGAAGCCACACTGAGGATTTTAATTATATTTTATATCTTTAACCAACCTGAGTATCATTTTCAGTTTAAATGTTTCCAATTGTTTGGCAATGTCTTCTCGAGATGTCAGTCTAACTGCCAGGTTTTTAAGAGCCTAAAAACAACAGAAGTCTCAATTGAAAGTTAACTTGCAAAATTTCATGCACTCAACATTATTGAGAGGAAATACATGTAATTTAAAGACACAAACTTATATAAATGTAGGTTTACAAATACTTCAATCACAGTCTGGGAGAATTTGTTGAAACAAGAAAATCCCTTCCCTCTCTTTTCCTAGTGTAAAGATGGTAACCGCAATCTACAAAAGATTTGTTTTGATAATCTAAACAAACATTGCAGGGTGCTCATTCTCCTTTCCTCCCATCCAGTCTCTACAGTATTCTTAATTGCAACCTCATTCATCACCATGATGAGTAGGAAAAAAAATTTGGCAACTAAATTTGTAGTGAAATATGACAGCCTACAGCACATGTATGTTCAGCAGTTCTGTAGTAGTCTGTATTTATTGTCATTCCCCAATACTTATGGTGTCAAATGGCACAATAGCATCAAAAAAATAGTAATCCTCTTCTACTCTTTTTTTTACTTTGTTTCTTCTTTATGTTCTTGGCTAATTCTTTTGTTCTTTTAGGTCACCAGGTAGCCATATGAAAAAAAGTCAAACTGGGAGTGAGGCTCTTTACAAAGAATTCAGCACTTAAACTTTTTTTAAAAATACCTTGATAATAGATGAGAGAGCATCATTCTTTGCTTCATTCTTGGCCTCTTTTTTAAGCTCATCATCAGTTAAGTTCTCAAGAAATGTTGGAACAAAATCCTGCAGAATTTAGAAAATTTGCTTATACACACTGTTGTAGAGGTTATGATGGAGATTATCCCCATCTGTAAGTAAAGCCTGATAATTACAGCTTCTACTTTTTTGCTAGAAAGCTACCTACCATTTCAATGAAAGTTTCAGCATTAGTGAAGTGACACTGAATGATTTTTCCTTTTACAATGTGATTTCATTTCCTATTAACTCCCCCACATGATGGGTATGGGGTTTGAATATTGACCAAGCAATTCAGCTTTTTTCTATTTTTCTTTCTTCTTTCCTATGGAAAACATTGCTCTTTTCAGAAACTAAATTACTCACTATAACAGGTAAAAAGTATTTTTCTACGGTGCTAGTTGTCAGAACCTCTGCACAGGATCCAAATGGTCTAAAATAAAAACACATTGCTGTTGTTAGTTGGGTATTGCATGTTTATGTCATGAAATTTTTCTATGTTTCTTTTATTCTTTTTTAATCATCAGTGTACACTGCATGCATTAAGTAATCATAAAGGTGCAAAGACATGACACCATATCTTCATTTTAATTAAGCATTGTATTGTTAACTTTGTACACCACTAATGTTGCTTATGCATATCAATAAATATACAGTACTATGAATGATTTACTACTATGAGTATCAAATACAATCACACTGCAAAATAAACAATGACTTGCTCACTCAAGCAAAGCAGAGAGAGCACCTCAAGATTTTGCACAAAAGTTTGCTCTGTAATAAACAACAACTTGCAACTGCTTTTCAGTGCTATTGATAAAAAAATGACTTACTAACTCAAGCAAAGCAGAGAGAGCACCTCAAGATTTGCATAAAAGTTTGCTCTGTAATAGACAACAACTTGCAACTGCTTTTCAGTGCTACTGATAAAAAAATGGCTTACAGCCATCATTTACATGAATCCTCAGAGATTTGGCTTTGCATGTACATTTACACCACCTGAAATAGGGGTAAAAATTGAGATCAAAGCCACCCCTGACACAAATAGATTCCAATATGGTTGGATTTGCATGTTCAATGTAAGGTATAAAAATTTACAGCACGACAAACCTAAGGAGAGCTGCTAAGAGTGGGACACTAAGATTACTGCCATCACATATTCTTTCCTGTAAAGTGCTAAAACCTTCCAAGACACCAAACTTGTTCACCAGATCCACAAGCCATCCCTACAAAGATAAAATTTAATTGAGCCATTGGTTACAGTAAAAAGAGGAATATAAATTACTCTCAGTTACATGTATAATATTATGTATGTGGATATTAAGACAAAATTATTGTACTACCAGCTGTGACTGTTTTAGTCATCATAGTATCTAGAATAAAATTTCACCAACAAAATTTGGGTATGTTTTCATGTATGGAACAGTCATGGCTTACTGCTACATGTAGCTCCAAATACAAGTGGTGTGGTCAGCTGTTTTGAATATCCTGTAATATTGCTGATTGTTCTTTTTCGGTGACCAAATTTTATTCTGCTAACCATTTCATTGTTCTGCCAAATGGCAGAAAGGTTGAACTTGAAGCTGTAAATCACAATTCTTATTCCACTTCACATATCTTTTACACTTGGCTGTAAGTTGTTGAAAGCAATTGGATCCTCAACTAAACCTGACTAAACAAGTAGAGTCTCAGTAATTCCCTTATTTTCTTTGGAACTGTGAAATGATAACCCTTTCCATTCAAATACAATATTCAACTCCTCCCTAATGGCAAAAAAAAACTTTCACAAAGCATACTACTCATGATCTGTGGAGAGAGTCGCTTCACTCAAACTGTATTACACCTACATGTAAGTTTATCAATTAAAACAAATATGTACCTTTGGTGACCTGGCATCAGGAGGTCTGGCATAAATTAAATTTTCAGCCACCTAGAGAAATAACATAAAACAATATAGAGTAATTTTCTCTTTGTATAACATATGTTAACAAAACTGATTATTTCTGCAAGAGTAGATTTCTGATGATTTACTGCAATCATTCAATGTCAGAGATGAGAGGTGACAAATTTTAGAAGCTTATCAACCTGCCAGTATTCAAAATCTACAGTCACACAATATTTAATTGTAACTTTTGAAACCCATCAGAAAATGGCAAACAACAACCAGGTGACTGGATGAAAGAATAAGAATATTCTTGATCAGCTATGTTGCATACAAGTATGCCTGAAAAATTAATGTGCTTCATGAAGGAGAAGAGCAATTAAGTGTTCTGAGCAATGAGAAATCCAAACCAGGAAGTTCCATGCTCAAGTAAGTGGCAGCACATGTATATACTTTGTCTACAGTGTACAAGATACATTGTATATGTTGGCAAAAAGTTTGCCTCCTGCTAATTCAGATGTTAAAATTTGTTAAAAGAGCACTGCTTTAAGTCAATAACACTTTTCCTTTTTGTTTTTTACTAATACATTTTGGTTTGTGCGGAGAACATAAAGAACCTCAATACATTTACTTAATGGAAGTTAAAAATAATAATGATGGTGATGATAAATACATTTAAACACATTAATAAGTACAATGTTTTACCAACTGACCTGAGCTCCCTGTGGAACTGTCTCTGAAGGCCTAGCACCATTGTAGATATTAAATCTGACAAGTTAAATACATGTAACTCTAAGTACATTAAGTCTGCACAGTTTTACTTCAAAAGATAAAGAGCAGAAACACACAGTGACACATACCCTATACAGGAATAATACACAGGTAAATGTAGTAAAATTAGTATGGTTAAAACAGTCAGCTACCAAATTATATTTCGAACAAATCTCAATTGAACAGTGTAGAGGCTAGATGTCTACCTCAATACTTTAAATATACTTAATAGGTAAATAAAAAAATCGTTTTGAAATGATATCAAGTGAAACATAATTATATTAGTGTGCCTGAGGTAGAAAACAATAACTCTAGTTGTAAATTGTCACAGTTAAGGGACCAGGGATGATGAAGGGCAATGAACATTAATTTCAAAATAGAAAAACTGCAAAAATGAATTGACAATTGCTACTAAGACCAAACAGTTGTACATACCTGGACATAGGATTAAATACTAAAGATAGAAGATCAAGAAGAGGAAACCAATCCTGATTCAGTTTTGTAACACACAACTCTACAAGCTTCTCTGTGTTCTTTAAGATAGCTTTCTGAATGGATAAAAATGGAAATTTAAAACACACTTCAATTTATAAAAACAAACTGATTACAACATTCTGATCAAAACTTTCCACCTGCTCATTAGCCATTATATTTTAAGGTTCCATAAAAAAGGCCTTTAAGTTTGTTGTGGTGCACCATTAACTTAAAGACTACGTCTAAAACTCATGGATATGGCTCCCCAAGCAAACCATACACTATTCAGATGTGGCTGTGTCATTATCATAAAAAGTATCTCAAGATAATTCTGAAAAACACATAACAAACTAAGACAAATTACTGTTGAGCATTGCTCTAAAACAGCTTTTAATAAGAAATAACAATAAATTAATCGGGAGAGAACATTTCCCAAAACATAAGCTTAAAAAAGAGAGGTGCAGCTTGATATACAAGTGTACATGGTAAACAGACAGAAGACTAGAAACCTGGGAGTCCAAGGGTTTCACTAAATGAAACTTCATGGGGAGGTTGCAGAGATTCATTGCAACCATTAATTGCAATAAGGCATGAAAGGTATCTCAGTACCCAATGGCAGTGAAATATAATCTAGGACTGATTAACTGAGACAGAAGAAAAAAATCATTAAAAGATGAAACTATAAAGTGCTAGGTAGAGTATTGTGCAAAAGTAACGCAAACACCTTTTCGATGAAATTCGATGAAATTCCTAGCTTTTCGACAAATTTTTAACTGAAACAAAACTTCTACATTTCTGTGAATTTTCAAGGCATGTATCGTTTTGAATGGCTCGAACTTTTGGCGACATATTCCTTGATGGTGTTAATGCGACTCAAATTTCGAGCAAAAATTCATTCAATATGGCAAATATTTGGGACGAAAATCTGTTGCTATTGTTCATTCTTCTCAAAAAGATTTGGTTGAATTTGTGGTTTGGTACTGCTCTACGCAAAACTCACATGAAATTTCCAGCTACGATTTGAGTCTCGGCGCAACCTATGTTGTTTGCAACCATGGCAACACTCAGTGTATCAATTGTGTTGATGCGTTTGGGATCATTTATGTACTCTACTTTTGGTAGTCATTATGGCAAAAGTCTCAAATTATTCTACAAAAAAAATCAAGATCCTCCACAAACAAGGCCTCCACCCAGCTGAAATACTGAAAGCACTGAAATGCGAAGGGTTACTGGTGAGCTTTTCCAGTACTACATGCATCATTAGAAAGTTGCATCTCACTCTCACTGGTTCTCTGGCAAATTTACCTTGATCAGGAAGACCTCAAAAGCTGTCTATGGAAATGAACAGTGTATGTGGGAACAGTGCAAAATAAGTATTGGCAAAAGATGACAGAATTTACACAAAAATAGGGCAACGTGACCAAAATACTAATTGCTTCAGCTGTCATTTATTAATATTTAGTGTTGTTGTGAAATGTAAAGTATTTCACTCCCTTTATTTCACACAACTATTCCAATCATTTGACAGTTTATTTCCACCAAATACATGTCTCTTGGTTGCAATTGCTATTCATCCCTATTTACTTTTGTTGTTGTAAACTGATCGAACACTGAACTGGATATGATGGTTTAGCCTTGATTAAACATCAGGAAACTGAAGTTGATGTGCAAAATATCTGGATTCGTCTGGGAGATAATTTTAGTCAAGTACATGTATTATAGTCAGAATTACTGTAAGACACTTAGGACAATTTACCTGATTTTTGTTGTCATCCACAGATCGAGCCCAGAATTGGACATGATGACTTTTTGGTGTTTAGTCCATTAGTCTACTGTTAAGTCTAAAATATTAAGTGTCTCTGTCATGGTGACTGAAAAAGGTTGGAAACATGTTTAAAAATATTTTGTGTTGCTTACATGAATATAAAACAAACATGATCAATCGCAGAAGGCTATCATCAGTTTGAAGCAAAATTTCAAACACTAATGATCAAAGAGACACTTTCCACCACGAATTTTTGCTTCATGGCAAAAATTCAACAAAAAAGTGTCCTCTGTTCAAACAAAATGTCGCTTAACATGCCTTAAACTTTCAATCAAATTTTTGTTCAAACTTTTGACGAAAGATTGCTAGAACAAATAGCGAAATTTGCCAAATTCCATTTGGGTTACTTTTGCACAATACTGTACATGTAGATGACAACCACTGTTGACCAACATAATGGTCTGTGATTATTTAGAACAATAAAAAGCCTTGCAAGTCTTGAACGATCAAGGAGAGTAGCAGTCATCCATGGGCACAATAGCTTAGGCTAAACTCAATCTAACTTTGGATCCACACGATCAAAAACTGAAAAAACACATGACTTACATGAATGTCATACTTCCACCCGTTAACTGCTTCATCATTAAGAATTTTATGAAATGATGTGGTCAAGCCATCCCGAAAGAACCTCTGGCACTCTTCACTCTTTGTGTCTAGCTCTGTCAATTTTAAAACATTATTAATTTTAAAGAAGATACATGTTTTTTCATCCAGATTTCACAGACTCTGTGTGCATTTTAGGATTACTTACCATGTATGCACACAAAATAAACTTAGTTTTGTTCAAATCACATTTATAGAACTTTTTGTTGTCTAGTATAAACTGTGTATGACTATTGCATATCTCATCCAGTCCATGATTCCTACTAATGAATCACACTAAACTTAACAATAAATATTCCTGGTCAGGACTACATGAATATGCTCCTATTTATTTTCAACAAGCTACAAAGAGGAAACCCTAGCCCCATAAAACTCTTATCTCTCTCTGGACAAAAGCATATACATGAACTCATACCTGCTCTGCAAAGTTTGATAGATGCCTCTAGGAGAACCTCCAGTTCACCCTTGGGAAGGACAGGTACCACCCAACGTGGCCTGTTAATCATCTCATCCAATTTGGACAATTCAGTAAGAGGAAATGCCACTTCTCCATTAGGTAACAATAGACTAGAACTATCATCATTTTGTATAACTGAGTTCTCATTGTCCTGCTGTTGACCTGAGTCATTTGATTGGCCACCTTGTTGTACAGGTGTGGTACTGTTGGGAGGAGCAGAGTCCCCACCAGTCCCTCCACGCACAGAAACAGTCATTTTGTAATAATAAAATATCAAGTGTCACGTAACAACCATTTATGTGTGCAAACATTAATGTAGTTTATGAAAAAATATTGCTGCTCTTGCTCTTCTACACAGTTTAAAAACGCATGTCCACTATACCCAGACTTAAAGTAACAGCTGTTGATCTGAAAAAAGGAAAAGATACAGCATTCTTAATGAACTGTCAGAGTGGTGAGTAACAATAACTTCTTTCCTGTACTGAAAAAGGTTCATTTATCTCAGGTGTGTGGTTGGTAATTAATTTCAAGAACACCATTAACTAATCTACATCTAAGAGAACACATGCAGATATCTCTTAGTGGTATGACAACATAATACCCTGAAATGAGAATGAAACCATCTCTAAATTATAAGTAAGGAGAGTATAACCCACAATTGACAATATCTGTGAAGAAAATAAATGATGAAGGGTAAAATAATATTTTTTAGTCTATAAACTTGATCATTTCTCAAAGAGATGTCTCTGGAATTCATTCACTGTTCATATAGATGTACAACAAGGTGACAGCAATTTCACACACCGGCACTTGACGCAAATTACTTTAAGACTTGCTCTATAGTCATGTAGCAAAAACAAAAATGACCACAGTTTTAAATTTGTAGCTTCTACTTAAGTGCTATTTGTAAATACATATATACAAAATACTGCAAATCATTTATCAAATCCCACTGTCATGAAATAACACAAAGTAATCACAGGTCCATGATGTTTCCCAATGACGTGAGTGAATATAAATGATAGACAACATATAAAGGCTAAAATTTTAAAATTTCTCTTTCTCAAGCGAAAGATCAAAATGGAAGCTAGACAAACATAATAATCGATGAATGGATTTACCACAAAGCTCATTGTTTGTTATCCTGTTAACAATAAACTGGGAAGGTTTCAGGCATTGGAAATTTACCATTCCAAATATTCACGTGTTCACTTAAACAAAATTCTTATTGTTTTTTTTTATCGTCATTAGTTGAGGATACGCCATGTCTAAATGCACATATATAAATGATACTAAAACAAAAAACGAAGGCATCCATTAGGTCATCTACGACCGAGAACCATCAACGTACATTGCATGTCGGACAAAAAATTATTTCCTAAAGTTCAAACTAAAAAATTCAAGCTGTCAACATGAAATAAATAGAAGTATTCCCTGATAATGATATCTCGATTTTATAACTTTCCCTTTTTTCCGTCAAAACTGACAGGAAATGCAAGGGTAAGCAGGGTTCAAAGTGGTTTCGACATCGAGACAAAATTGTTCGTATATAAAGGTTTGAACCTTACCTCCTTGCGCTGAAAGAATTTCACATAACAGCTTATTCATAAAATAACACAAAATACAGGCTGGAAAGGCTGAATTCAATTTTCTAGCCCTGATATTTTGGACAAAATCACTGTTTTGCATGTGGAGCAGAATCCTCCTTGACGGATCACACATGCGTAGTTACTTCCTGTGGTCACGTGCTGCTCGGTAACTCATTCCCAGGGATCCCTAACTTCACAAGGAAGCACTGGAACATCTAAATGCTTCATGTCAAACTGTCATGGAGTCTCTCGACTGCGAAGTCTTACCTTTGACTAAAAGACATCATTTGCTTTCGCCATTCGAACTGTTGCGTACTCAACAAGGTTTAGTTGCACTGAGTACTGATGAGCAATCCCATTTTTTTCTCCAAGTATGCCTGTGCCATTCACTGAATAAAGTATTCCTTCAAATTGAAATTTACCATCTTAATTTTCATCATCATTTACATCATGATATCGACATTTATATCCTCGCACTGTTTGTATCCGGGAAGTTTGCCTTGGTAAATGGCCCCCTTGCCTGATTCTCCCATAATTCAATGGTAGAACGTCTCGAGTACTAGTCGGGAATTCTTTTAGGAGCAATTGTAGTTTTTTCTTTGAGGAGCGGGCACGTGTTATCTACTGAATAGCATCGTCCTTCACTTAAATCAGCAAGCTTAAATTGTATAATTTTCACTCAAATTATCAATGAACACAAGCATCACATATCGACAATCGTATTCTTGAAGTATACCGGAGGTTTGTCGCAGAAAGTCGACTCTACCTTAGAATGGTCAGCCTCGTTCCCAAGAGTTTACTGAGATCGAGCGTATTTTAAAGGCCGGTAGAGGAAAATAAAGGAATAAAATTTTGACAACAGAAGTTGAGAAAACCTCCATTCAGCCTTACCAAGACTAACATTAATTTATCGGTAGTAGACTTCGTGACATCGTCGTAGCCAAAAAGTAGGTTTTTAACGTCTGAAAAAAACATCAATCCGTTTTTAAAAAGCTGGGCATTGTTTCTCCTGTTGAGTCAGCGTTTGGTGGTTGTCTCTCCTGTTCTTGCTCTGAGTGCGTAGATGCGATTTCAAGCTGGTCCATCACTGTGCTGTATCCATCAGCTAGCTCTGCTTTTTCTCTCGTGATTTGGCAATGATCACGGCGAACTGATCCAATTGCTGTTTTGACCACGCAGGACCTTTGTGTGGGCTTTTCTACTACCTCCCCATGGATCCATGGCTGAGACCTGTTTGTGGGGCGGGGTTTGAGGTACACTTTTTCCCTTCTGTGAACTCTCTAAGCGGGGTCAGTGCCTTCTTGTCTTACTGCACCTTTGACCTATTTCTCCTTTCTGCAATGTTGTAGTTTTGGGACGAGCTGACTAGTAGCTATAGGGATAATGTCCCGAAGTTTTCGGGACATCTAGCGCTTAGCAGGAGAATAGTTGTATCCATGTTAGGGTGTGTTTCGGTACGCTAAGAGAGCTAAGTACGGGTCCTCGTTACGTGATTTCTTCAAGATATTCTTGACAATCTTAACTGCCGATTCTACCTTTCCATTTCCTTGACTTTGGTAGGGTGACGATTTTGTACTGGTAAACCCGTACTCGCGAGAGAGACGCGAGTACTCATGGCTGACAAACTGTGGGCCATTATCAGTTATACATTCCTCTGGAATTCCGTATCGGGCCGAATTTCTTTTCATGGCTCGTATGACTGTTTTGTAAAGGTTCGAGTTCAAAGTAGCCACTGTAGTGGTCCACCAGAACAAGGTAATTGCTGCCATTTAGTTGAAATAGGTCTGCACTCACTTTTGACCAAGGCCGAAAAGGTATGTCGTGTGACCCCATAGGTTCTCGAGGTCGCTCGCTCAAGTACTGGGCACAAACTCCGCTAGATGAACATGTCTGCCTGATTGCTGCTTGCATACCTGGCCAGTACACGGATTTGCGTGCTCGTCGTATACTGCTATCTGCGCTGTTAGTGAGCTTCGTGTATCTTCCGTAACATTTCAGATTGCAAGGATGTGGGTACGATAACTTGATGAGACTTGTAAAAATTCTGTAATACACTGTGATCTCGTCTCTTGAGTCCCAGTAAACTCTGATTTGATCGGGCACTTCCTTCCTTTCTGAAGGCCATCCACTTAGCACCACTCAATGCAATACTGCTAGAACAGAATCTTTTGAAGTCTCCTCTCTGATCTGGTTCATTGTTTCAACGGTTACTCTATTTGCTGCTAGGTCCATTTGTGCCAGTTCTACACGAAACACTTTGCACTCTTGTATGACTGTCGGGGTTGTGTAATCATGAACACTAGTGGCTAAGCGAGAAAGTGTGTCTGCTATAAAAAGCTCTTTCCCTTTCTTGAACTGGTATTTCTGCAACTTCAGCATCATTCTTTGCAATCTGCGAGGGGCTCTGCTCAAGGGTTTTTTAAAGATTGTCTCCAGGGGTTGGTGGTCTGAGTGGACGGTGATGTCATGTTTGCCGTACAAGTAGTAATGCCATTTATCCATGCAGGACACGATCGAAAGACACTCTTTCTGGATTTGAGCACAGTTTCTTTCTGTGTTGCTAAGGGTGTGTGAAGTGAAACAGACAGGGCGCCCCTCTTGTAGTAAAACCCCACCTATTGCATAGTCAGATGCGTCTACTTGAAGTGTCACTGAGAGGTGTGGGTCATAATAGCGCAGCGCGGTTGTTGAGGCGATGGGACGTTTAGCTGAGTTAAACGCTGTTTCGTGACTTTCAGACCAAAGTGATACAGAGTCATCTTTGATAAGGCTCCTCAATGGCAAGACTGTTTCGGACAGGTTGTGTTAGAATTTGGACAGGTATTGGCACATTCCCAGGAAGCGTTGTACTGCCGCTTTGTCGGTTGGAACTGGCATGTCTCTGATGGTGGCTACTTTGGCAGGATCGGGCTCCACCCCTTTATGGGTAAGCTTGTGCCCCATGAAAGTGACAGACGGGGATTTGAATTGAAGCTTTTTTCGCAGAGAGCCGTAGATCGTGTTCAGCACATTTCTCCAAGAGCTGCATTAAGTTTCGGTTGTGGTCGATGTCAGCGTCCTCCTTTGTGTCGCCACACCCATACACGCAAATGTCATCGGCGATGTCAATTACACCGCGTATACCGTCTAAGAATTAATGCTGTCGCCGCTAGTATTCCTCCGGACCAGAAGTGATACCGAAAGGCATGCGGTTATAGTAATAGCGACCGTTTGGCCCCTGAAACGTCGTGAGTAGAGAGGACTTTTCATCCAGTAAAATGGTGTGAAATGCTTCAGATACATCAACAGTGGTGAAGACTTTGGCCTTTATTGGTAAAGGAAGCTTCTCTTCGATGGTCGGTATCGTGTACTTGGGTCTTTTAATCGCCCTATTTATGCTCTGGCTTGGGTCAATACAGATACGAAGTTTACCGTTTGGGTTTTCTTTAACCAGCATATTAGACAGCCAATGTGTGGGTTGGGTAACAGGCCTAATAATCCCCCTTCTTCAGAAAGCCTTTTCAGCTCTTCATTTACCTGGTCTAACTTTTCCACAGGCACTCGGTGTGTTGGGGCATGAAACAGGTGTAACGGAGGAGTCCAGCTGAATATGCATAAGTGTCCCAAGGGGTTTCCCGCGCCACGGTCTAGACACATTAGCATACTGCCGTAAAATGTCCTCCGCCGTTAGCATTCCGAGTGGGGGAAGTGTTTGCGGAGTTTGCGGAATCTCGTCCTCAACTTCGTTTCTTTCGTCTGCATAAATCTTCAAATACTTTAGAGCCTGCGCATCCTTTCCGCTAAGAAGTGGCGGTTTGTCGTCAGGGACATCCACCGCAAGAAAATCTATTGTCTCTAGTCTGCTTCTGTCGCAAACTAGGGTCACTTGACCTTTTGGTCGCATTGTTTGACTTCCATATGTGCTGATTCTGCTTCTGGTCTTTGAAACCTTCAAATTAGGGAATGACTGGCTCAATAAATTGCTGGGCATGGTATTGCAAGTTGAAGCTGAGTCGATTTGTACTCTCACAATTTTCGATTTCCAGTCGTGAACAAGGTGTAAATGAGCGAAGAACTTCTTTGCAGGCTTATGTGATGCTTTGCATTCTGCTACAAACGCCTCCTCATCTGCATCATCATCAACGAAATTTGACTGTTGCTTGTTGCCTGCTTGCTTTCTTGTTCCTCCTTTACATGCACGAGCGAAATGACCAACGATTCCACACTTATTGCATCTCTTGCCAAACGCAATGTTGACAAGGACTGGGATGGCTGCCGCATCTCGGTGTCTTTGGCCTTTACCGGTTAGTTTTACACGCAAGGTTTCAGACGTTAAGCCAGCGATAAACTGGTCTCACATAAATTCGTCAGCGAAATTCTCATATTCGCACTGTGAAGCTTGATTTCGTAAACGCGTTTCCTAAGAGCCAATCGATTCGTCTTCATTTTGCATCAGGCGAAGAAGCTTGTGTCTTTCACCCGGGACACCCCAATGCTTGCGCCATAATATTTTGTCAGGGCATTAATAACCAAGTGAGGTTTCGCCAGATCATCTGCTGAAAGCCATAAACTGTATTTGTAGACCGCTCTGATCGCAGGGGATAGTAACGCCCGAAGGCATGCCATCGCTTTCTCTGGTTTCGTCAATTTTGCAGCCTCTGTCTCTTTCGACGGATCGAACCAGTTTTGCATGGTGCAGTAGTCCGTCAGATCTTCAATGTATTCCTCAATGTCGTGTTTGTCATCTCCCGTTGTTTTAAAATCTGGAAAAGGAGTGTTTAAAGCCATGGTTGCCAATAGATTTAAATCGTTAAGCCATCTAAATGCTGCGAGGGAGGAGGAAAAAAATCACCGCTGCCACCTTGTCAATGTCTCTGTTGCGTGTCCAAAACTGAATATTTAATGCATCGCAATCACTAAATATGTACAAGGTATGCAAAGGTGTAAAGTACACAAAGGTCCGTGCAATAATACGGTAATACATGTTGGCGCAACGAAGCATGTGATACATAGTTGTGTAACAAGATAGCTTAGGTTTGCTACCTTTACCTTAGTTTTCTACATGGAGCGAAGTAACTCATGTTGGGAGCAAAGTCACTTATTTGATGGAGCGATCTAACTTTCGAGTGGAACGATCTAACTTTTGGTTGGAGCGATCTAACTGGGAGCGATCTAACCGTAACCGTAAGCGCCTATATCTGTTAAAACATAGTAAAAAGCCGAAAACGCATAAAATTTTCCTTTTAAATTGGGTTGGTCATTAAAGGGGCACGATTTACAGAAAAACAACTCGCGAATTATCTCCCTACACTGTTTAACTTCAGCTGTCCCCTTAAATATACTCTCTTTATCCTGATATTCAAGAGATTCTTTGAAACCATTATTATGACAAGGACTTTGCACGACACACTTGGAATCCTCAGCGCAATTTGCTTTTTGTGCAATGTATGCTAGATATTTTTCTCGAGCTTGGTCTTGTCCGTAACCCAGATAACTACGACTAAAAACACTGTATGTTTTCCCAGCCACGTCAAAAACAACAACTTCCGGGCTACTCTTGTCAAAGTCCATGGAATTTTGGTGGGACGCTCCCCCTAGATCCAAACTGCCATACGAATTGGAATTTTTTGAAGCAAAAACGCCCAAAAGGAAATTCACAGTAACCCAACCATAAATTCCTTCGACCTTACCGGTAATGATTCTAACGTCGTTATCGTTCTTAAAAAGAAAAGGACATTTTTCTTTGTCGTTAAACAGTTTCCTAACTTCATCTAAAATAGCGTTTGCCTGATCTTCAGGCAAGAGTCTCATGCCTGCTGTTGCTAACAAAAATATCGGAGTGGATGCTTGTTTGTCCTCTGGAATGGTTTGCTTTGCAGATTTAAGTAGAGGATTCATGTAAGCTTCAACTTGAGTCGGGTCATCAGAAAGGTCAGAAATTCCAGGCTTCACTTTGTCTGGTGAAGCATCAATCTGGACAACGTCAGAAGGTTGGAGGGAAGGACCGCTGGCAAGGAACTTGTAGATTTCCATGCGAGTGCCGCTGGATCCTGCGTCAAACAAGATAGCGTAGCTATTGTGACCAGTGTCTTGATGAACTGGAATGGACTGAGAGACAACCAACAAATAGAGGAAGCTCAGCAACACTTGCTCCGAAAATGTCTTCATTCCTCAGAACTAGCGAGAAATTAAATTCCATTCGTTATTTGATAGTCAGTTTTCAGAAATTCGTCATACTACTTTTAAATAGTAATTTAAATAGCAATCTAATTTTAAATAATCAGATTAAGTTATAAGCATTTATAGTTTTCGTAGGCTGAGAGTGTAAAACAGGAGTATTCATTTTCCAGTCTCTGCGGAAAGTGAAACTACGTAACGATGTTTTGAGGGAAGCTGTTAAAAAAAAAAATACCGCGCCCAGTTGGTTTTTTAGAGCCAATAGCGACTCACAGTTACTCTGTTTTTTCGAAATTTGCATTGAGAAAAACCAGGGACTCTCTAACTCCTGATTTTATAATAACGTACGCGAACGTTTCTTGCATCATGATCAACACATGACTTTCAACTTTCACCGAAAAAAAAATGGAACTTTATATTTCCTTTTCAATGAGTTACGTAAGACTGAAAATTGTGTAAAATGTTGGATTTTTTATTGATTTTCCTCATTCAGTTACAAAGAAATTACCCAATGCAATGTTCTTTCCAGCTGTGCCGTAATTCACCGATAAAAATACGAAATATAGAAGGTGAAGCTAGAGACGACGGAGACACCGAATTGACTTTTAAAGCTAATATAACGTTCCTTGCTTTTTAACTGGATAGTAAACATTAACAAATACCACTTTATCGATCTTCGGCCGCGGAGAGGAAAATCTGACATCTATCAAAACCCTTTTGAAATAGAGCATCGTTAAATTTTATAACGCAAAGAGAAATGTGCTCGTTGATTTCCACCTAAGTCATTGTTCCTCAATTGTGCTATGCTAACTGCTTTGTGCAATATTTTTAAAGGACGAAATTATTAACCGTAAGAACTAGCACAAATAACTTGATAAAGTAATGCATATGGTACAATGTAAATCATAGCTTACAGCACGGAACCCAGACTCGTAAGTCGCGTTGTACTCGGATGATCAAAGTGGAATCGCTCGTGAGGTAAAGCACCAAACTTTTGTTGAATTCTTTTGTTTCCATTTCTCAAGTATTACTGCAATATATGTGCTAAAAATTGCTATTCAACCTATCAAAACACTCAAAATTAGTTTATGTCATTTATTTCTACGTTTAATTATTGAAATGAACACAATTTCCAATTATATACATTTCCTATATTCGTGACTGTAATCATGAATTTGGATGAGAATTTGTACATCGACCTGTCTAAAACACGTTGGTGCCAAGGATCAATAAATCGAACAAACAAACAAAAATGACATTTAAAAAGCTGGTAGAATTTTAGGTAAACCCTGTAGCCTTGGTAACCTCACTGAGAGACAAAAGTTCTTCAAAAAACGCACCGAGGAGAATAGATTATATTGATTCTACTCAAATTGGGACGGAATGACTATTCCTTTCAGAAATTAGTATTATTACATGTAAAATGGCTCAGTGTTTATATAGTGTCTATATATTTATTTTGTACAAGTATGGAAATTCATTCTTCGTTTGACGTTTCGAACGAAGTAGCTTTTTCACAATTCAGTATCATGTTGGTGAGCGTTCCCATTTTTTTTGTTGCAGAATTGTAGAATTTAAATAGCTTGCCGAGCCAGAAAGGAGCGGGTTGTAGTTTCCAACCAGCAAAAGCACATTGCATCAAATTAAGTAATACTTCAGTTTACTTATCATGCCGGCTCCTGACCGCACGCATTGATTACAGGTTCCCGAACTTTCGCTAAGTACCATTGATAACTTCAGCCGTAGACCTTTCTGCCGTTCAGAACAACCAAGCGTTGACATGACTTGTTGACGCGTAGACCATTTAATTTGGAAAGTAAAAGAAATAAAACTTGGCAAGCATACAGGGACAAATATTTGGGAAAGTTTGCGTTTAATTTCATACTGTAAGCTTGATATGTCTCTGAAGACAAAACTGATCGCTTTGTAAGGTGTCAGCGCAACAGAACTTGACTAACATATTTTTTTTCAGAAAAAAAAGGCCCTTCATCAGCATTGCTGATATTAAATTAATTTCCATAGCAAGCCTACGAATCTAGATAGATAAACGTCACGAACGGCCTCGAAACAATCCATTTATCCACTTTTTCTTTCGCATAGAATTGGGGAACAGAATTAAGAGGCGTAAATCTGTCTTTTTTTTTCTAATAAAGGAAGTATTTTCAAAGAAAAAAATAACGGGCGTAACTATGACAACTATGCAGCATGCCAACACTTCAGTCAAGAAATTTATCTCTCTCTTGGTTTAATTCTTTGTTTAAACAGCTTATTGGCAATAAAGCCGAGGGGATTTTGATAATCAAAAGACAAAATTCCTTCTATGCATGGATTCATACCTATCCAGTTTACTCTTTTTACACTAAGGGAGGCCGTAATAAAGAGTAAAAATTGTACAAAAAAAAGGCTTCACAGTGAGTTGCCCGAAGAAGAAAAAATCTGCAGTGTAGTGAAATAAGACAAAATAATTACAAAGACTTGTGCCGCTCTAAAGTTTCCTATTCTCTCAAAAATTCTCCTTCTCTTCTGGTTTTTTTCCCCTTCGTGTCGTTGATCATTCCAAAATATTCACTTCAAGCGTGACGAACATGGTTGGGATGGGCTTGGGATGAGACACTTTAAAATTCTCTTTTCACCAGACCTTGGTCTGCGAAGTTACAGGATGAACTTGCTTGGGACCCTCTCAGTATTAGAAGAGAAATACATGAATTAAGCAAATTTTCAAGATAGCTAAGAATCTTGCTCTATGTTATTTAACCGAACTACTGCATTAACTTAACTATCTAGTGAAAGTACGCATTTTCGAACCAGATCAAAAGAAAACTTCACTCAATTTCCTTGCAGAACTTCTAGATTTTCGCCTGGAATTCTCTGGACCTAGATGTCCGAAACTCTGTATTTCTTTTCAGTTTTAAAGCGGAAACACGGTCAATGATTCTCTTTTCGTATTCTTACCATCAGTTATTTGATTGTTCTATTGATCGCACCCGCCTTAGAATTGGGTTTTCTTGTCTCAGAGAAAAAAAAGTTATAAAATAAAATAATTAATAGCTGTGCATCGTCTATTTGTGAGAACGGTCTTGACTTTGAATCGGTGGAACACTTTTTCTTGTATTGCCTAAGGTATGCCGCCCAACGTAACGTCCTCCTTACATCTGTTGCTAATATCCCAGGTGAAACATGGTCATCGAGGTGCGATAAAAAGAAACTAAGTTTTTTGTTGTATAGTGTTATATCTGTAAATTACGACGTCAACTGTGCTTTTTTTTTCGCAAAGTACAAAGGTTTTTAGTCAATTCTAATCGCTTTTCGTAACCATTGTTTGATTGTTTTAAATGATATATCTTTAGCTTTGTATGTTTAACTCGTTTCTATTAAAATTTGTGTGTGTTGTTTGTTTTTGTGTGAGCCTGAATAGATTAAATTAGAATTTGATATATTGTAATCCCTTTTGCTTGGCCTAAATGCTTGTGGGGAAAACAAAAAAGAAACTCTTCTGCAACGAAATCTTCAAGAACACATGTTCATGCAAACTCAATTGTTCAGCTTGAGCTCAGCAGTTGAAGAGAGTTTACTTACCAAGCATTTGACTGACACTAAGAAGAGTTTATTTTCCAGAGGATGGGAGCCAGAAGGCAATTTCAACATGATCAGGCCGTTCTAACAAACCTAGAAGAAATCAAATGGCACAGAGGAAAAATGTGAGGTAAGTTCACCAAAGATAAAGGGAGGATCTGTTTCATTTTGAAATGCTTCCCTTCAACATGCCGGATGAATTATCACTGTCCCCACAAAAGTACGGTTGTAAGAAGGAGAAAATACAACAATTCTTAATTCGTTGCTTCGAAAAAAGTTAATTTTGTCAAGTTTTTCGGTAGTTTGCGCAGAAATAGAGTGTGTGGTGATTTGTTGAGAAGTATGGTCAGACTATCATCACCTGTGCTCGATCTTTGAGGTAATATAACAAACTGTTTCCTGTTCTAAGTTTACCTTCAAAGCTACCACAGTCTTAAATCTAGGAAATGGAATAATGCCTCAGGAAATAACCAACCACAAGCTAAGTATTCCATTCCAGTGGTTATGAACGAGTAGTGCAAATTGCACCACAAACGGCAAGTCAGCTGGATGGATGTAACATGGATGCATTATTAAAAATTCTTCAGCGACACTAGTATAAATCTGCAAAACAAAACAGAGACACCTAGCAGGAATAACCTTTAAACATGTAAAAAAAATTTCCATTTTGCTATCTACAGGATCGACGAAGCTACACAATGAGTTACCGGATGGAAACTGAATCGAAGCTGGAGTTATAGGGCTCCCTGAAAAATTCAAAGAGAAAAACTGTACATGTCAGATTTTCAGATCCCTGGTGGCCAAGGCGGTCGCACGTTCCCCTTTACACTTAACTGTTTGCTATCTTAGTCTTTTTCAGTAAAGATTTGTTTTATTTTGACAGGCAAATAACTATCAATTTACTGCACGCGACGAGACGTCATGAAAGGAGTGAAGTTTAGCATAGGGCGCATCCGTTAAGAGGATAGACGAATTTCGCTAACTTCAACGTTTTTATTGCTGTAAATTTCTATCGCAAATAGAACCAAATTCGAAGCAGTTTACTTTCTTATCAAAAGATGTATCTTGAATTAAAAGAATTAAGAAATAAGTGCTTCGAGTGTACCATGAGTGTGCCTTTCTCTCCAGTCTGTTCCTTTTCACAGCATACCAGTGTGAAATAAAACAACTGTTTATATGGAATATTAGATCTGAATTAGTGGCAATGAAAAATCACACTTCCACTATTCATGATCTGTAAGTCAAACCTCTCATATTTCTAATTGTGGTCAAAGCTTAGCTTTGCATCATACAGCTAGAAAGATAAACTGAAAAGGGCATTCACGCGTTGTAATGTTCACCGTGAATACACTATTCTTCTGCAATACATTATGTAATTACTAACGACATGGAGATGATAACTCAACGGTATGTACACCTTGACAACCGAAGATTCCGTTACCTCCCATGTTTGATGAAACGGTGGTTACAGACATTCGACCGTAGCTCCAAATCATTGCTTTTTGTGATTCATTTCCGTTATAATCGGCCAAAAAAGCTCGACAAAACATTCAGGTGCCTCTCACTGAGACCTGTTCCTTGATTAAAAATCGTTTTAAATATTCGTTGAATGGGTCCAATTTGGTATTTGACTGTACGAGATTAGCAAAATTTACATACGTAGCGCAGGGGTGACAAGAAATAGCTCCTCCGAATTCATAAAACATATCATTCTCAGAACGTTGCCTCTGTTTAACTGGACGTAAGAGTCGCATAACTTTTTTAGTGCTAAGTGAACTGGTGACATTTAGTTCGAACAAATATTTGGCTCCTCAATCAGACGATCGTATTCAACAGAAGTACACCTTTGGATACTGTTGCATGAAACTTCAAGTCTAATTTGACGCTGGCGAAAAATGTTTGTCGAAAAATATCGATAGCTAAGAATAGCTGGAATGTAAAAACAAGAAGCTTAAGACACAACAACTGATAGAATCAGTGTATCTAACATCACCTGTTGTTCTTAATGCCTTTGATGGTTGGCTAAAGTCACTCTTGACATCTTCAGAGTTGGTGCACACTCTGAAGTAATACTCAGCATTATGTTGCAGATCAATCACCCTTGCCATAGTACCACGTACTGTACAGATGTTTGGTACCAGGCTTTCTGTGTCACATTTGGCCCAAGCCCACGAGTAATCATCATGACGTTTAATCTGAATTGCGTACGTCACATTAAGCAAAGAAGTCGACTTCCATTTAATAGTGATGCTATTTGTTGTACTTCCCATGAAGGTAGGCTTCTGGGGTAGATCTAAAAACATTAGAATGTTAATAACAAACGATTAGATGTTCTTTTTGCTCCCAAAATAAAGCAATGCAAATCCATCCAGCCGCAACAACGTACCCATTTCATCTATTACTTTAAATCATAATGTACATATACGTCATATAATGTTCCAATGTAAATGCTCACTCAAAGCAAGGAGCTTTAATTGAGAAGAAGATCATTTCACTTGTCTCAAAAGTGAACTTAATTGAATTCATCGTAACCTCAAAGTAGAATGACCAGTTACTTCTCAGCTATAAACAAATCATCAATTTGTACTCACGTACTAGATCTATTTCAGGCAGCCTTTTCGCTGCACATTCAAGAACTGCACCGAAAGCAAATAACAACTCAACCAAATGGTTAGTTGCTTTGAATGTCTTCACTTTCTTTAAATGACACATATCCTAACTCACACTTTTTTAAAGAAATTGAGAAATTAGATTCTGGTGGTTGCTAATTAGGGTCTTGTTTGTTATTGTCTAATGAAAAACTCCTCAACTAACCAAGATTCTTTGTTTTCATTGGTCCTGATGGGGTACTAATAGACAATCTGCTGACAAAAATTCTGAAGTAGTATGTTGTGGATGGTTTCAAGTTCACCACAGTGGCTTTCAGGCTTTTCCTCACGCAGGAATCAGCGATTAAACTTTCCTTACAGTACGCAGAGGCCCATGTCATGGTGTCCTTGTTCCACATCTGCACAGTAAACTTTGAGGACCTTGAAGAATTCCATGATATGTCAATGTTTACGAAGTCGCTTGAGACAAATTCCGGTGGTCCTAAGGCACCTAAGGAAATATGAATCAAAACGAAGTCAGACGAATGGCTGAATCATAATACTGCGAAGAACGAAGGAAAATAATGTTACAAAATCAATTACGTTCTCAAGAAAGGTTTGTCAATTAGTTGAAGTGCATATTTTACCGTTCGCAAGAGGATTTTTAACGTGGTAACTCGAGGTCAATAACAGTATACTTCAGTCGGGATCCCACATATCTGGTCTAACCTCCATGAACCTTGGTCTGGCAGTTTCAATTTTGACATACAATGTACATACCTAGAGGGATGCAAATTACACTTGCAGAAGAATAGGGCGGGCAAGATCTAGTGGCATTCCAACCCATGTGTTTACACTGTGATAGTGAGGTCTCGTTGCCTTTGCACTGTACATTACTCATCCAGGTGACAGGTGGATCCCCTTCACATGCGTAGGGATCAAAAGTACTCTGTGCCCCCTCATAGCCCAGTTGTTGACATACTACATTGGCGTCGTTGAGATCCCACGAGTCAGGACACACTGTACCCCACACTCCCCCGAACAAAACTTCCACGACACCTCCTGAACGTAAAGAATCCTCACACATATCAACCAACCTAACTGTTACGAAAAAGATGTAAGTATGTCTCATCTATATCATTTTGACTGCTATAATCTTGTCAGTACAAGAGAGTCAAAGATTGTTTTTGGGTCGTTTTGTCCAAAGCATAGCCGTACCATCTTTTATATATGCAGTCAAAACGTGACAAACTCTTTATCCTTTGTGAATACCTAAATGGATAATTCAGAGCATTTAGGAAATATAGTACTTGAAATCAAATTAAAAACAAGGTAAGGAGGTTTCCTTTCAGTCAAGTCAAGTTTTTAAGGCGGCCGACAAATGAGGCGGACGGCAGCCGTGAAATTACTGTAATAACATTAGACTAAGTCCTTGATCCCAACAGAATTGTCTGACTAAACCGATAATCACGGATAAATTTTAGTATTATCAACTGAGTTGATAATGTAAATTTGCCACCATAAAGAGTTTCAAAGAAGACGTTCCGAGCGTTAGCCCTTCGTTAGAGCGAAGCAGAGCTCTTGATAATACTTAATTACCCTGTTATACTCTCCCACCCACGCAGCGCCACAGTTTCTTTAGAAGCTTACCCTAATAATCACGGACATCAACAATTAATATTTTACCTTGACTCCCGCTACATTTCATACCAGCCATTTGTTTGGTTGTACAAGTGCTTTTCTGGAGCAAACTACCATGCTTACATGACAAAAGGGAGCTTTCATCACCAACACATTGCACATTATTTAACCACGCTGTCCAATGGTCCTTTCTCTGGTTAGAAATTGGAAAGCTCAGAGCTGTAGATGAGCTTTGGTAACCTAACTGCCGACAAGCTACATCAGCGTCTGTTGTATCCCATTGCTCATCGCAGACCAACTTCCACATGTTATTGTGGTAAACCTGTACTAAACCTTCACCTGGCGTTGCTGTTGTTCCAACTATTCGCACTGAAATGTGTAGAATTTGTATTTAATTGACCTATGGCGGCATGTTAGAAGGCGACAAAGCTAGTCATTATTCCTTTAAAGGAAAACATCGAAGAAGTGCTTATCAACCCTGAGCTGTATCTAGCCACACTAAGGTTTTAGTACTTACCAAATTTGTCTTTACGAGTCAAAACGGTCAGTGGGCTGTTTTTATTTTTTCTCTTGCTATAGTCAAAACATTTTCCACGCTGCTCTCTTGCTGGACATAACATATCAATTGGATAAATTACCACTGCCAATTGGAATCATAGCGAGGCATGTTTCTTAGACAATGGTAAAACTGTTCAGGCTAGCGTCAGGTTATGTATAATTTTCAGTCCATATCAGAAATGAAAGCCACAAATCACATGCCTGATTTGTTGAAGGCCTACTTATAGCAGTAAAACTTTAACACATTTCCCAAGACATACTTCCAAATAAGTTACGGTGATTTATTTTTCAGACTACTCCTCTAATGGCGACGGGAAAATATTATCAAGTGTGCGATAATAAATCAGGAGAGAACGCGCACGATGAATAATTCTGAACCGATAAACATTATAAAGGTTACCGCGCACTGAATTACACGAAAACTGAATTTAGCGACCATATTTGCTGAATCACTAATCAAGTGAACATACCAGTAGGGGTACAAATGACATTGCCAACTGTAGGAAGTTCTGTTTCACCATCTATGACATCGAAGACTAATTTCCATCCTTGGTGCGAGCAGCTCAAAACTGAAGTCTCGTTTCCGGTACATTGCAAATATCTCAGACATACCTCTGCGATCCCCGAAATACCATGGAAAACAGGAGCTGCTAACGCTTCATCGTGACCTAGCTGACGACAAACTACATTTGCATCCTGCTGATCCCAATGATCACCACAAATTGGTCCCCAGAATCCTCCAAACAGAATTTCCACACGGGGGTGTAAGCTATGCGAGTCATTTGCACTGATTCTTGCTGTTGACATAAAGTCAGATTTAATTCATGTTGTAACTTTCTTGATGTTCTCGTATTAACTCTCATAAGTGCAAGCAGCGTTTTTATTTCCCATGCTTCATGATTAAAGGGCTCATTGATGGGTCTTAATTTGTCAAGGTTTTTATAAAGGATAAGTTTGTTCCTTTTTTGGATGTTGAAACTTTAGGAATTCATTTTCGCAGGGTTATAATTCCAAGTAATTAAAATTCGGGCCAGATGAATTTATGAAATAACAGATATGATACCATGGCAAAGTTCGAAATCAGTTAATACATTTGTCACTTTGTAATATTATCATGAAATCAACGATCAGGTTTTTTATCCCTGTCGTGCTCGCACCAAACCTGCATAATTTGTAATTTATTAGTTGTTTGTAACGAACCACGTAGAAATAACTTAAAACTTTTATTGATGTTCTGTGAGTATACCTTCTGGACCGGTGCAAACAACACCAACGTTTCCGCCGGTAGAACAGCTGTTATTAGTATATCCATCGTGAACACACATGGAAAGCGAGCTCTCGTTTCCAGCACACTGAAAATTGTTTATCCACAACGAACCATTACCCTGCTCATTTGGAGAAAAAGTATTTACTGAGGATGCGCCTGTGTAACCCAACTCTTTACAAACCACATTCGCTTCTTTCTTAGGTTTCCAGTTCTTAGCGCAGATCCAGCCCCAAGTGTTATTACGATAAACTTGAACAAGGCCTTCTCTGGCAGACAGTCCTCGAACTAAACGAACTGAAGGGAATATTTAACGCTATTAGCAAAGCAGTAAGGTAATTAACTAAATCAAATTATCACTTCGACAACATAGGCATAACTTAGGACAGATTTCTGATTTAAATAACCAAAAAAAAAAACATAGAAGTTCATGTCATCTCATATAGATCTATTTGCTTATTAGCCACATTCTCACAGGCGTTTTTCTTACCTCTATTTGAAAAACAAATAAATTCAGTTAAAGTTGTGTATGATCCAGGTTAGTAGATTTAAAAGAACTATAAAAATTACAATCAGCGACATAACAGGGGAATGTTAGATCCGGCAGTGGAGTTCGTCAATGGCTGATGTTTATTTATTACATTTACTTTGCCGAGCAAACGACTGGTCTATTTAGATGTTCAAACCAGAACAATGCTATTCGAAGGCAAAGCCTAAATAATAAAAGAAACAAACAAAAACTTGACGGTTGTTGAACTAAAACTAGAAATAGCCTGTTTCCATTAAAAAAAAAACACTTTCTCAGGAACATAAACAAAAAACCCTTTGAAATTTCTGATGTCCTCACCTGATGGAGAACACCTCACACCAACTTCTCCACTCCAGCAATTGCGGCCCACGCCAAACAAGTCGTGTGTGCAGTTTAGTATTGAGGTCTCGTTTCCAAGGCAATGAACATTGGTTAATCTTACATCATCTATTCCTATTGCAGACGGTCCATGGTAGGTGGGTTGCACAGCTCCATGATACCCCAGTTGACGACAAGCTACATTGGCTTCCGGAAAATCCCAATTGTAATCATGACATATTCCTGCCCACACGCCATTAAACAAAACTTCTACTTGGCCTTGATATAATGTATGTTCACCACCTACTAAGCGAACTTTAAAAGAGAGAGAATTAAATGTCATTGAATCAATTGATTATAACTAAGCAAAGGTATGGGAAATTGGTCTAACCCCATCAGGCGAGAGGGACCAACAGTCTAATGATGAGATAACTTAACGTCAAGGAAGCGGCAGTTACTCGGAAATTTCGGAAAGGATAAAACACGAACTGGAAGTTTCATGAAGGTCAATAAAACTTACCATGGTGACATCGTTAAGGATACGCTTAAGTTTTACAGCTGAGTTGGCTTCACAACGGAATGGTTTAGGATCAATAGCAGCAATGTAAACGCAGTAAATGTAGTGCGGTAGTAGTAATAGTAGAAGTAGTGGTAGAGTTGATAAAAACATATTAGTAATAGCAATATTGTCAGTAATCTGAGAAGTACAGGTATTAGTAATATCGATTAAACTTAAGAGCTGAGAATATTACAAACTTTACAAGAACAAATTGGTGTTACCCTCAGGTCCGGTGCATCGCACTCCCGCCATTTGATTGCTTGCACAGCTCCCGCCCAACCATCATCACGAACGCATGAAAAAAGAGAGCGTTCATCTCCAGTGCAATTTACATTGGTCATCCACGTGGTACCATTAGCATCGTCACGTGCTGTGTCCGTGTAAGCTTCAGAGGAGCCTGAGTATCCCAGCCACTGACAAGTCACATTAGAATCGTGTTTGTCCCACTGCTCACCACAAACCCAGTGCCAATTGTTGTTGTAATAAACTTGTACCAGACCTTGCTTGTTAGATGCCCCACCTACTAGGCGGACTGCAAAGCAAAAAAGAAGTTCATAAATGTCGCTGGTGAAGTTTAAAATCTGTCAATTATGTTTGTTAAATTAGCAAAGAAGTATCTTTTCTGAGACGATTGTACAAAAATGTATTTTCATTTTCACATTTTCCAGATGGTTTGGTTATAAATTTCCTTGGAAACCAAACATCAGTTGTCTAATGAATGAGTTTAGGCTACAAGAGCATATACTCACAGACAACTCTTCCATACCCTGGGGAATAAATTCCACAAACACAACTGTTTACCTATCCTTTGGAACATCGGGCTGAGGTCTCTTGCTCCATGTTGAATTTTGAAATATATCGAAAGTTTTCGATTGCCCGTCAAGTTGTTGTGACGAACCAAATTTGAAAGGAGAGGATACCACGAATTCGAAGTTACTTCGTGTGCGGGAATTTCTCTTTTTTATATACAATGCTGATAAAATCTACTTTGAAAAACGTACAGCAATGCTACCACTTATGTTGCCTTACGTACAATACCACTTATTACTAGACGTTAGTTACCGATTACGTCACGTTACTAATAATGTTACTACGTTACTTAAAATATTACACTTTTTGCGGTACTCAACAGTACTACAATAGGCACTGCTTACTCTTATTTTCACTTCATGATAATACGCAGCATAAACAACATACAAACAAAAGAACAAATTTATACCATTTGCCTTAAAATGCTTTTATCAAATATAATTAACAGCAATGTAGGATTAAAATAACAATATAAGGTTCTTTGTGACACTCTTTGTTCTTTTCTTTGTAGCTCCTCCTACATTGAACTCCTTTTAACATCCTTTTAACATCGCTAAACCATAAAGAAGATTTTGAAGTCATCTTTAAAGTTAAAATTACCTATAATCCCTTTCGTGATTAGTTACCATGCAGTAATTTCTGATTGTGCAAGTAATATTTCGCGTATAAAAAGGTGAAGCTTAACTCTTGAATACTATCTTATTGTTGCTTACATTTTCCCTTTCATTGAATTCATTCAGTTGGTGAATGGTTCTCGATTCCGGGAACAACCTCGTGACGTGAGAAGAATGATAAGGACGAATCCAAACCAGTCGCTAAATACTTTCCAAACCATTCTAAGCAGCATATTGCAGTCTGCAGCCTTTCCCTATATTTGCACTCTTTATTCTAACAGTATGAACGAACGCTCGGACGTTGCTCCATTTTTGGCGTATAAAGCACACACAACTCATAATTTCTCTATTGCCTCAGACGAAGGGCAAACGCAAAAAACGTCAGCATAGTATCTCTTTACGGTAGCAAATTTACATCATCGAGTCAGTTGTTAAAATCAAATTATCTTGTTATACCCCAACCAACGTTGAACCAGTATATCCCTCTCTAGCTCATGGAAAATATTTGAAATTTTTTTCTATATGCTGCTTATATTATAACGACGTTTTAAAAAAATGTTTAAAAATGTTAAAATTCTGAAAGTAGTCATTCTCGGGTAATAAGTGCACAATCGGATGCTTAGTTTTACCTAGTAAATTACACATGACTTCGGCCCGGTAGCCAAAAGCGCAAAATCTGACTGAAGTGAATCCAGTTTGCGGACAATCAGTTAAGGAAGTTTCGTTCCCAAAACACCGTAAATCATTTCTCCACTCGACTCCATCATAAATCCAGTGAGGCTCGGGTCGCAGGGCAACAGCTCCATCAAACCCCAGTTGACGGCAAGTGACATGAGCATTATTGAGGTTCCACGGAGCACTACACCACGTACCCCAGGTCCCATTAAATTGCACTTCAACACGGCCATACGAAGATCGATTATAACCGCCACTTAATCGCACTGTTGAGCATAATATAAAGTGAGAAATTTGACAAAGATGGTGAAAAGCTGACTGAGGGACTTAGGACAGGAATGAAACTACGGAGTAAATCTACTTACCAATAATATCTGACGCAGTTCCCGTCCGAGGAAAGAGTCCTGAAAAATTTACAAACAACAAATAAATCCTAATATCAGTAGAGGGATTCTGGTCGCGGTTTAAAATTTATTTCTGAACTATCGTCAGTGATGCTTATATATATCTACACATCTGCTGAGAAAGGGGGAAGATGAATGAAACGTGTCTCTGAAGTTAGCTGCGATCGGCCAGTCTGGTGACGTATCTGAGGAACATTTGAACATTGTCAGCTCTTAATATAAAATATTCCTTTTGAAAATTATATATCAATTTAAATGATGGCTATATATTTCGTATCGAGAGAGATTTTTATCAGACATTCAGTGATTTCGAGTAAAATTAGCAGTTACGTGAATAGACGTCCTTAAGAGCCGTTATCAAGAATAAACTGCCAGAGATCACTCATTTACCAGGGTAGAACAAACGCTTGACTTCTCATACATTTGCGTGGAAAGCGAAGCTATATTTGATAATATCAAGCCGTAGGGTAGAATTCTTAAGTATTGATCTGAATACGCTAAATGGTTAAAAATCACCGAGGCATGGGACGAATAAGTTGTCAGATAAAGTCACAAACAGTTGTTAACTGCTGAGATTCTATAATATTTCCTGTTTTGTAAAAGCAAATCAATCAGAAACAAAGTACGTATGATGACCAACATCATGATCACATCACATCGCTTTTAAAGGAAAAAAAAGAAAGGAATGACTGAGCGAGTACAAAATTTGGACTCAGGATTGATCTTCAACTGCACTATATTCGTTATTGTGCCAAGTTATTTTCAATCGGAGAAATTTTTTAAGTGGCTAGTTCTTACCTCCGACAAAAAATATACAAAGTAGGACTCTCAAAATAGCCATCAAATATATCCTTCTGTAACACAACTCGTTCGCTGTTGCGTACTCCACTGATTTGTGGTACAAGCATCTCTGTGGAATGGATTCAATGTTGTTGAGTTGTTTGATGGTGACATCACGAGGTGCGCATTTTGGTTAACCACATATTGTCAGTTTAGTACATATTGGTTATTCGGTCTTTGGCAATAACAGTAGTAACGGAAATAAATAGAAGTATATTGAACCAATGGAAGGCTTTTGGGATTAAATGGACCTTAGGAAAAATGTCATATGGTAATTTTGTCAAACAAGGGATATTTGGATGCTGCGAGGCTGGTTTTGACATTGGCATCATACTTTCTTTCATTGCATACAAAAAATACTTCAGTGTACAGGCAGGGAAACATCTAACTCTAATTATCTAGAATTATGTACTGTTTAACTAACAGAGCAGCCTTAAATGTGCTCTGTTCTGCATGAAGCGGCTAGAGCACGAAAAAAGTGTAGGGAGAAACTCGAGACGTGGTCGAGTGTTTCTCCCCATTCCTTTATCTGTTTTATAATTAAGAATTCGTGAAATTTCCCACACATTACTTTCAATTTTCAAAACAAACTTCATTTTCAAAGCGAACAACGATGTCGTCGGCATGCTCGGCATAAAGCACGCTACAATAAGCCAATCAGAATCCTTGTTAGAATGGTTCCAATAATCTGATTGGTTGAGCAAGACAAAAGCTGTAAAAATGTCAAAGTATCAAGGTTTACAATCTGCAATAGTTTACAAACTGAAATAGTTCGGCAGGTCGATTTTAACACTTTTGCTTTAAGTTTTCTTAGTCTCTTATACAGAATCTGCATATGAAATTCTCCGTGAATTGTGGCTCATAAAACCGCGCAAGTTTTTTCACAAGACAACTAGTAAACAACTTGCTCATGATCAAGGCGTGTGTTTTATGAATGAACGACAGCCGAATTCGTTGGAACATGAAGATTGCTAGGGATGACAGCGGCGTAAAACTCGGCTGCTGTAACTGATGTGGCCTCCCACTTATTGGAAAGGATATCAAGGCAAGCTCTTAATTGTTCACTCGAAGGGCGGCTGATGTAATATCTGAGGCTTGCTTTACTGCGATGACCGGAAATCGCCCTTATGAGCCAGCCGCGATGGACCTCAACATGATCGCAGTCGCTCTGACATCTTCATGATTAGTATGAATTTTAACAGTTATGCCAGTTCGGCTTTATTTTTCATCATTCCTGTTTTGTTCTGCTTTGTTTTTGAACACGGAATTTTATATACTATACGAATGATTGCTGTGTATTTTTTTTTTACCGTATTTAAGCTTGCAATCTTACTGAGCATGAAAACCTTCAAAACCCGGACTGTCCATTTCGTTTCTCTTTGAAGATTTTCGTCTCTGCTTACGTTATAGTAACTTAAATTACGGCGCTTGGCATATTCACAAACCTTTCTTTGGTTCTTCTGTTACTACTTGCCGGCTCGCTTGTCCCGAAATTTCACTTTCAATTAATGAAAAAAGCTAGAGAAAAGTCCCGGAAAAGGTCGGACATAGTACAATTTGTGAGATGGCGTGACAACTTTAGCTCAGGTCTATGCTTTGTATTCTGATAGAGCATGCTCTTTCAACCAATGACAGCACGCGTTATATCCAAACTTTATTATAAATCTCCATCGTCATTTGGCCGTCCATTAACGCGAGCGAAGCTGTAATCTATTCCTTATATATTCTGAAATTGCCGTTCATCACGGCACATGGGGAAACTTTTACTCCATCCTAGGAAGAAACAAAAAGGCGCCTGCGTCTCAGCCTACCAATATTTTTTTTGGCGGACGCTTGTTGAAAACAGGGAGTTTAAGTTATCACTACGGTGATGCCTAGGATTGTATCAATTAAAAATGAACTTTCTGTACCCCTTGCAATTGGAATTCAACGGGTAGCTTGATGTGTTCAGTTTACAGTCGAAGAACTGCAACAGCAAACTACTTCTGCAAATATTTGTCTATGTTCGTGGAAATCAGCTTTCAAACTCAGAGTGAATGGTTAGTGAGTATAATTTTCGTTCTCCTATGTTTGTTCAGCCTACGGCAGCTCAATACTATTTAACAACTCAGAAGGCTCAATCTAATAAGCAAAGGTGTTTCAATATATAATATGATAGCCAGCGGTAAACGTTTGCAGCTTGAAGCCATTCCAGTACTTATAGTTTTTTCAGAAATTTATCTTTGCGCGGCCGATCATCAGACTAAATGGAAATTTCATGGGTTTGAAGAAGGCCTGCAATGCTCATCCCGGTGGCATTTTTTGATTGAGTTATTAGCGAATCCATCCTATGTATGCCACTGATAAGTTTGTGCTTAGTTGCGATTAAAGCTGTAAGAGTCATTTGTTCCTGTCACACAGACCACCTCTTTTGTCTTCCCCTAACTAAATAATGTTTGGAGGAGGATATTTCAATTACCGCCTTAAACGAGTGAGCTTAGATACCGCCTGTATAGAATCTAGCATTCGACCGGTCGATTAATCAAAAGAACTGGCCTTCAAAAGTTTGTCCTCCACTTCAATTTTCCATATGAATAAAGATGAGTTAAATTACATGAAGTCAGAAAATAAAAACTAGAAGTTGCTTTTATAAAGTTAGCTTTATTCATTTTCTTTAGATTATTCTTAAGACATATTCTGGCTCTCAAGGTGATGCATTTGAAGCTTCTCATTATCTATTGTACGAAGAATTTGTCAGAACAAACGGCGCCTATATCTGTTAAACACGATAAAAAGCCAAAACTTGGTCTATTCCGTAGCCAAGGTAATTATATCTAACTTAAAAACCCCCCTTATTTTTTCCCAGCCACGTCAAAAACAATAACAACAGGGTTACTTTGTCACTTTACTGAGAATTTTGGTAGGATGCTCCTTCCATTTCTTAACTACCATACGATGCAGAATCTTTTAAAGCGAAAACACCCAAAATAAAAGTTACTGTAACCCAACCATAAATGCCTTCGACCTGACCAGCGGTGATTCTAGCCATTATCATCGTTCTGAAACAGAAATGGACATTTCTCTTTGTCGTTAACAGTTTCCTAACCTCGCCTAAAATAACATTTGCCTGATCTTCAGGCAAGCGTCTCATGCCTGCTGTTGCTAACAAAAATATCGGGGTGGATACGTGTTTGTCCTCTAGGATGGTTAGCTTAGTAGATCCAAGTAGAGGATTCATGTAAGCTTCAACTTAAGTCGGGTCAACAGAAAGGTCAGAAATTCCAGGCTTCATTTTATGTGGTGAGGTATCAATCTGGACAACGTCAGAAGGTTGGAGGGAAGGATCGCTGGTAAGGAACTTGTAGGCCGCTGGATCCTGCGTCAAACAAGATGGCGAAGCTACTCTGACCAGTGGCTAGACTGAGAGACAACCAGCAAATAAAGGAAGCTAAGCAACACAGGCTCCGAAAACGTCTTCATTCTTTCATACCTTGCAAGAAATTAAATTTTTCGTGACACTAACATAGATTGTTTTAATTTTTCAAAGGTAATGAAACTAAAACAGGAATTTCCAGCTTTCAGTCCGACATCAAAACTGCAAAAAGTGAGTTTGCATTGTTATACGTAATAAAACTGGTTGAGAAAGAAAGGCGAGAAAGAAAAAAACCCACAATCAAGTCCGTTTTTCAAAGATAGATTGACAGTCTTCATCATACAGTTTGATTCGGATGTTTTCAAAGAACATCAGCCAGTCTGTAAACTTACTCTGCGAAATCGACATGAACTTTTTTTGCATCATGATTAGCATATTACTCTGAAAATTTTCTGTAGGAATTTTCATCATGTTTTTTCTCACCTTAGGTCAAAAAGATAAAGCAGTATATAACTTTTTAGCTTTGGCTTGATCATGTTAGGAATAGGATCAGTATTCGAAAAGGAAAATGAGGACAGTAGTCAACCTAATTCCTCTCTATTCATCTGAAAATTACCGCTAACAAATACCAACATTTTTGGATGTTACAGAAAATTTAAAACCGATCGTGTGCTACCCAATGCGAAATTTAGACACTTATCAAAATTCTCGTGAGATATCGGTGTGTCAGTTAAGTTATTCTAAGCAAATAGAAGCGTGGTATTCGATTTCTTCGCTGCTACCTAATCTCAATGAATGCCCTTTAAAATGCATTTGAAATGCCCCTTTTTAGCAGACTTAGGAATTTAAAGATATAAGAACTAAAACTGAATGCCATATTAGAGACGGAAAAAATTATTCGAATTTCGTCACGAAACATTGCTTACTTAATAGAACCGATACCCTTTAGTTTGGTTGTACTTTAGACCCAAAGGAAGAGCAGCTCATGCATGAGTCAAAGTTCCAATTCTTTGTTGCCTCCTGTCATCTTTTGTTTTAAAAGCTTTTCTGTTCCGGAAAAATAAACAAAGGTGAGAAAAAAGGGGAGAGATTCAAAATGGCGGAGTTCGTAGTGAAACTGAGTTTCAGTACAATCGAAAATCTTAGCAGCTAGATTTACTCTTAGGATATCAGTACGCAATTAGTGTTATAATTTCAATTGGGAATTTAAAAGTGGAGGGAGAAATTTTTTTTTCTGGAACATATTTTGAAATATTTAAAAAATTACGTACATCTAATAACACAGTATTGCTATTATGATGATCATGGCTCAACAATTATAACCTACCATACCAACCGTTTGTAGACATTTCAAGGCGTGAAGTGCTTTAAGACCGTAAACCAACCACTCAAACCCAGCGCAAACGTGAAAGGCATCTGCTACAGCATCAGGTAAGCCAGTGCTGACAAAAGAAGAGTTAGCCTGAAAGGGAAAACTCCGCACCCGTGTTTAGCAATGAACGTTTTCCCTATTTTCGACAGTCTAACGCGCCCGGGCGAAAAATCGTTATGCAGCAGGTTGAACCATGATCAGCACTTGCTATTTTAAGTGCCAGTCAGGGTAAAACAAGTGATTTTTAGATAAGGTAAAACTTATACCTTATGTAAACAACAAGGCCAGAGTTACTAGAGTTGTAATATATCTTTATTGTGTCGTTGTTGCTACACGCAATAAAGATATACAACATATTTTGAGTGACAGATGATAAAGAAAAACCACTTCTTGGGTTTCTTTATACAGTATATTTTACACTTGTACAGTTGTCGGGCCTCGTTAGCATTGCTATTTGACTATTCATTTGATTAGCAAATACCAATACAAATTGAAAGTTTATGGAAATGTAAGTTAAAAAAACAGAGCATTCAATATCTGAATGCTCCGTTTCAATGATACTTATTGAATCAATTAAATATCTCTGAATACATTACATAAAGGAAAAAGTTCCATTACATGGCAACAACTCATAAAACCACATAATCCAACATCACCTGCGGTTCTGAAGGCTCCTGACGGTAAACTGGCGTCACTTCTGACTCCTCTGTAGTTAGCATAAACTCTAAAATGATACACAGAGTCCTCTTCGAGGTCTACAACGTCCGCAACTGTGCCTGTCACTGTGCAATGATTCTGCCAAATAGTCTGTTTACAACTTGCGTTCATCCACGCTGTTTCTTCTCCTGGTCTTATATTTACGGTATATGTAGCAGATTCAAGATGAATTGGTGACCATTTGATAGTTATTGTATCAACGGTGTTGTTCACAAATACTGGAAAACCAGGAGCATCTAAAACAAAATATATCATTTCTTTCAAAATATGTAATGAATTTCATATATATTCACATCCGAAGAATTAATCAGTGAGCTGATGACATGATTCTGTAACCAAATCCTCTGAACCTGAACGTAAATTATTTTATTGACTATGAATCAAAACAACCGCGGGACTGCAGTAGCGGTGCATCGGCAAATTACTTTAATCATTTACCAACCACAGAACAACAGAACTGTCAGAACAATCATTGAATCACACCTCATTTCATCTCCTATCCCCTACAGAACCGTGGAAAGGCGGGGACAGTCATTCCTTCACACTTCATTTCTTTTATTCTCAACAAAAGGACTACGGGTCTTCAGGAGCAATCGTTCAGTGAAATGTAGTACCAATTTAGTTAAAAAAAACTCTCAAGCTGGGGCTGCGAAACTGCACAAATCTATGGATCCCTTAATTTTCACACTCACCGCTAAAGCACGGTGTGCGGAAGCGATAACGAAAATCTGCTAAATGCGACTAAACTGAAAAACACAAGCGATAAAGAAAATCTCCCAAATGCGACTAAAACTGCGACTAAAACTGCGACTAAAACTGCGACTAAATGCAACTAAAACTGCGACAACACACACGCGAGAAATCGTACGCGTAACTTGCTTACGACTGATTAACGTTAAATGTCTCAGCGCGCGCGCGCTAATTGCACGACACGCCAGTCTTCTTAACACGCGTTGAGCACTAAGATTGATGCTCCGAAAACTGGCCGAGTATTCCGAATAAAGGAAGCTCTAAATAGTTGATCTACAAATCCTTTGGTTTCTTTTGAAGATAACTTTTCAGCAATCTTGTCTGCGAAGTAACACATGCTTGCGTCTTTTTTGAATAGACTTTTCATAGTGACCCTATGAATGAACATCTACTGAAAAATTTGCAGGATTTCCACCAGAATATTTAGTAGAACTCTAGACTTGATATTCTGGCTAACTCAAGTTCATCCATTCTATTCTGATTAATTAATAAGTACGATGCTAACACTTGAAAGGTCCTCCCTAGTTATCCGTTGAATGATTCGATTGTATTAATTCAAACCGATTTAGATGGCAATCTTAGACCAAATAATCGATTAATAAAAGTCACTTTTAGACAATATCTATTTACCGAGAACAGTTACTTTGACTGTAGCACTGTCTCCTGAGCCCACTTCATTTACAGGGATACATGTGTATATTCCAGCTTTCCTCACTGTAACACTAAACATCCCAGAGTTACTGATGGCGATGAGGGTACTATTGAATATCAACTGAAACGCATGAACTGCAGGGTTAGCATCTGAGGTGCAGTTTAGGAACAGTAAACCTCCAGCTAAAACGACAGTATTATTCAGGCCAGATGTCATTCGTGTACCAGTCGGCAAGTCTGCAAAATAAAGAAAGTTCGTTATTCTCGCGGTCAGCCTCAAGGCCTGATTGGGGGAGCGATTGTATGTTATATCACTTCCACGAGTGAAACAAATTCTTGCAAAAAGGTTATAAAACTCTATTGTCATCATTGTGTTTACTTTTGGCTTATTACTCAGCTGACACATGCAATGAAAACTCTACAGTTAATTGACTTACAGAATACATCCAAGTGACATGTACTGATCGAACTATTGCCAATTCCATTCCATGCGCGGCACTGATAAAACCCCGTTTGGTTGCGTTGAACATCGAACAAAATAAGCTGCTCAATGTTGCCAATAACATCTCCTGTATCTTGCCATATCCATGTGATGTTTGGAGGAGGATTACCAGTAGCAGTACATTGAAGATTTACGTTACTCCCTTCAATAGCTGAGCCCGGACACTGCAAAGCTTGAACTTGAGTTTCGACTGATGAAAAAAAACTGACTTGACTAAAAGAGTGTTATAAGTCACGAAACTCTTCCCAGCACTTTTGATTTATGTAACGTTGCCTTAACTCAGCATCTAAAGTGGTTTCGTTATGATCAACAACAAGTCACACGCTGTTATTTTCCTTTCAATACGGATCTCTACTATCAATGCAGCAATGAATTGGCCCTAATGAAGAGCAAACATTATTTTCAGGTTTCAAAAATATTCTGTTTTATCGCGAGAGTTTCTTTAATTAAGGAAAAGGAAAATACTTTTTTTGCTTACAGTACAAATTCAGATTGCATGCTCTGGTGGAATTGCCGCCGATTCCATTCCACGCACGACACAAATAAGTCCCTGTTTGACTTCGATCAACTTCTTTAAGGGTCAGCTTTTCGCTTCTACCAAGGACGTATCCTGTATCTTGCCATACCCAGGTGATATTTGGAGATGGATTTCCAATAGCATTGCAGTGAAGAGTTACGTTACCTCCCTCAACTGTCGTGGTTGGACAATGCATGTGGAATATCTGTGGATCAACTGGAAAAGAAACGTTTCAATATGCCTGAGTAAAAGATAACAATCTTTATAACCGATAAACCCTCCTTTGCTCTTTACCTCCGAGCAACTCGCACGGGACTTGCACTCGAAAATATTATGATTATGACTGTAGCCAGCTTGTAGCTAATCCAATTTGTTATGTCACCTATGTGAACTAGAAGAACTTTATATTCTTTAAGCGTGTTTAGTTTAATTTACGCACGCTGATATCGTTCGTTTAGCGCGAATTTTGTTTGCAAACAAAGGTCCTAAGGTTGGACAAGGTAATATTGTTCCTTTTTCTTTCTTTTAAGTTCATTTTCTCTGTATTGTAATCGATTTCGCGCATTAGTGTCGTATTTGTTACGTTGTCATAAGATTTGCACCGACGTTTATTTTGTATATTATTTATTCGTTAGTTTTAAGACTTCAGTTTGGAGCCTGTGCGACATCAGCCCTAAATACAGCCAATGAAAGGTTGTTGTGCGAATTTTGAAAAAATTATTGGACCTCAAATGGCTCCGTCGGATCCCCCTGCTTCCAGGAAGCATACTGTAGCGGAAAAAGCAACATATTTTTTTTCGGAAAAAATGACGAAGATGAACATGTCCAAGGAAAACATTCTTCAGATCAGATCAAACAACTTGTCAGAAGATCTCAAACATTAACTGAAAAGGGGCTTTGAATATCAGTGTTCGTTAAAGGAGAGGAGTTATCAAAGAACTATGAGAGTGACACGAACTTGATATGCACTGGGTTCGACCTCAACACTCTCCGAAAAGGAGAGATCAGACATAGAAGAACGTAGACAAGACTTAGGAAGTGCCTAGCTACGGTATTCGCTACTGTTGATGGAAAAGAAGTTTGTCATGTACTTGACACAACGTCATTCTTCTCCAAGCAAGCTGTAAAGCTGAGGGTGTGTATTGGGGAGAAAATATTTCAACAAGAGAAGGAAGAGTTGTGCTTACGTAGAAGTAAGCCTTACTGGTGTTTCAAAGACGTCAACAACTTCAAAGATCTCTGAGAGCTCTGACTTAATTGGCCAAAGGAGAAGTGAAGATGAAGTATGCGATATAAAAAACTCAAATACTTTTGAGCTATCAGCGTGGTTCCTTTACCGGAATCGCTCAACACGACAAGCTCAACTCAGTCTTCAACGTCTCCATTACAGATTGTAAAAAACAATACAGAGGCACCATCGAATGCAGAACCAACTCCACCGCACCATATTAATTACCATAGCAACTCAGTTAGCAAACAGACATTAACCACAGCGATTCCTCTTGAGTCTCCAATCTCGCGAACACTCTACGAGTGCACGACTATCATTGGGCGGGCCTAAATGGAAGGCCGCCCTTGAGACTGTGGTCGTGAGAAGATATATGAATTCAAACTAGAAGATTCTTATATAATGCACCACTCACCAGGACAACAAAGGAAAATTGTAGTCCTCCAAACGCTGCAAGTAGATCAAGCCAGCGAGAAAATTAGCAGTTAATGATGTTGTCATCATGAAGGACGAGAACGCTCCAAGAAACGCACGGAGGTGAGCTAATGAGGACGAAGCGTTTCCGAGCACCGATGGCCATGTAAGAGGTATTGGACTCGCCATGATGGCCGCCAGCGGCCTTGACGAAAAGACAATGAATCAGTGAAAATTAGTCTCTACAAAGACCAATCCACAAGTTGGTCGTTATCCAGTGAAGAGACTAGGAACCAGACTTGTGTTGCTAAACCCGTATCCAGTTTGTAGGAGTAGTTCAGAACGGCTTGTTTTAGTTTATTAACATTACCCTTTTTGATAGTTATTGGAGATTTGCTTGTTAACAGTGAATCCTCACTGTGGGTGCATGTGACTGTGGCCAGTCCAGTTTGGTACGTCATCTATAGTTCGTGCACTTTCGGTCATGTGATCTAGAAGAACTTGTTTTTTTCGGCGTGGTTATTTTAATTTACGCTTATTGATATCGCTCGTTATCGTGGAATTTGTTTGTATAACTAGCGGTCCTAAAGCTGGACAAGGTGATTGTGTTCATTTCTTTCTTTTAAGTTCATTTCCTTTGTATTATAATTGATTTCATTATATTACCTCACTATTTTTTATCAGGTACTTAAACAATTGTTCAACTCAGTGTAGGTGGCCAGCGGTGGATATTTACCTCGCTGCTTCGTGGCTCGGTAAACTTCCACCACTTAGCATCTCCACTTCGGTGAATAGCTGTTAGTTGTGTTTTTGCTTCAATAAAGTAAATTCCTCAGTATCCCTTGGGCTTATTTTCAAATAGAAAGTATACCTTTAAACTATGTTCCTTAGTAATGAAAATGAAAAGCTTACAATACACATCCGGACTGCATGTTCTGGTGGAGTTTTTTCCGATTCCATTCCACGCCAAACACTGAAAAGTGCCTGCTTTGCTGCGATTGACAGCTGTAAGAGTCAGCTGTTCATTGGTACCCAGAACATCTCCTGTTTCCTTCCGTATCCAGTTAATATTTGGGGGAGGATTTCCAGTTGCATTGCAGTGAAGAGTCACGTCATGACCCTCAATGATTGATGTCGGACACTCTAAGTTTAGAACCAGAGGTTCATCTACGAGAAAAAGAAAAA